AGAAAATATTTGACCTACATAACTAACCTCTTTTACTTTGCATTGTACTTTTGTATCATTAAATCTTATTCCATTCTGTCTATCTCTTTCTATCACTTGAGCAAGAATATTATGTTCTGCTTCATCTTCACCTGGAATAATAAAATCATCAAAATATATACCTACAGGCAAATCCCCAAATATTTTTTGATTCACTCTTTGGAAAACTTCTGGGCTGACATTTAACCCAAATGAAAGTCTTTTAAAGGCATATTTCCCAAATGGTGTTATAAATGTACAATATCTTGTACTTTCTCTATCCAACGGAATATGGTAAAATCCTTCCTTTAAATCTAAAAGAGTGAAGACTTTCTTTCCCCTTAACTTTGACCCTAACTCTTCTACAGTAGATATAGGGAATTGATCAGAACAAACATACTTATTTGGGTGTAAAGGATCTAAACACAACCTCAACTTACCATCATTTTTTTCTACAAGTACTAAATTATTAACCCATTCTGTTGGTTCATCCATTTTAACTATTATATCTCTATTTTCAAGGTCATCAAGGGCTAATTTTAGTTTTGGTTTTATTGTCTCTGGGACCCTACTACAAGGACTTACTACCGGATTAGCATTATTTTTTAAAATAATCTTATATTTGGTACTTTACCAGTGCCTTCAAAAGTATCTTTGTTATGAGTTATAAGTTACCTTTTATTAAGCATTTTAATATTACTTGACCTATGGTATTTAACTTATTGTTACTATGTTATTAAGGGATATTCATTTTTTGTTATTTTTAAAATATCATTTAAATTTAAACCTTCAAATTTTTTTAGAGACAAGCAGTTATAGTTAGCACCAGTGTCTAATTTAAAATTAATAGTTTTATCATTAATAACAACTCTAGTTGTCCTATCATGTTTAACCTCATAGACTCTTTGATTACTATTAGCAGACCTAGAGGCTACTCCTGCATTAGTTAAATTAGAAAATTTGCATCATACCTGGAAATGATTTGGTTTATTACATCTTTTGCATATTTTACCATAAGCTGGGCAGCTTCTTGGACCGTGTCGTCTCCCACATTTTAAACAATTATAATCTTGATTAACTTATTAAACTGTTCGGGCTGTTGGGACGTTGTCTTCTGAGATTATCCAAGAATTATCCAAAAATGCCGTCTGAGCGTACATTACGCTCACACAGCCGTCAGGCTCCAGATGTCGATAATACGACAGAATTAATTCCCCCCTATCTCCCCGGCTAGCAGCCTAGCGTCCCTACCAATCTATCCCTCCTTCAGTACTTCGGAGGCAGTCACCGAGTACCACTCGACTGCCGACGAAATTAACCACCTAATCGATGAATTGGACAACGTCACCCAACTAGAGTTTTTTTGCTCGCAACTGCAGTGAAAAATAAATAACAAACAAAAACCTAGTGATAAACCAAATAAGCCCGCCAAAAAACCAACATCCCGACCCACAATAGCCTCAACCCATAAATCCAGCGAGTAGCGGAACTGTACGACGCAGTAGAAGCGTCTCTCCTACCCCTGGTACCTCTACAATCAAAATAAACCCACCAAAAACCACAAAACCCGTGAATAGCCCTTCTAGACCGGCAACACCGGTTCAAAATTCAAATAACACTAATAAAAATGCGACAAGCTCCACCTCTGCTGCCCCTAATGTGAAGAAAATCTTCACATATCGCATTGAGAACATCACAGAAGACCTGAATTCTCAGGCAATTCTTTTCCGAGTCCTCCACTCAAACGGGCTACTCCGAAACTACGATTCGTTCATAGTTAAGCCTCACCTGAAAACGGCTTTCCTTAACAACCTCTCGGCATTAAATACTGTCGAATTGCAAGCAAAAATCCGAAGCGTAACTGGCAGAGACCTCACGGTTTCGTCCTCTGTCAGACGCAATCGCACAAATAAGAAATATCCTCAACCTTCCACCCAGGCTAACTTCCATTTAGTCATACGAGGGGTGGACCCTAAATTATCAAATCAAGAGATTGAGGAGCAACGCACAATCTTTGATTTCCCGTATTCAAAAGTTGCGAGAATCGTTTCTAAAGCCACTAACTCGCCAACTTCCCTTGTCAGAGTCTTCACAGACTCTGAAACCCACTACGCTGAGGCACTCAGGGATAAAATCCGTATCAACGGAGAACGTCTATCCTGCGAGATGCCATTTTCAGCCTCAGTCGCCCATATCCGACCAAAATACTGCAGTAAATGCTGCAAAAGTCGACATCTCGACGCTTCTTGTCAAGCGAGAGCTCCACGATGCCCTAACTGTGTACAGGAACACAGTGCGAAAAACTGTCCTAATCAAGAAAACCCTAAATGCCCTAATTGCGGAGGTGAGCATCCAGCGCATTCTCCCAGATGTCCGGCTAGACGGGCTATTCCCGAAAAACCAGAACAAATACAACCTGTATTTGCATACAGACAAAATTCTCCTTATCCTTTGTCGCAGGACCTCAAGTATTTAATATACTACAACAATATGGTACTGATGAACTTATTCCCTGCTCAGCGAATAGCTCAGAAGAAAGCCAACGTAAAGACCATTTTCAAGCCTACAAGGAAAATCAAGGATTGTTTAAGATCGGTGAAAGACAAACGCGACCCATTAGCAAAGGCCGGAGTATACCGAATACCATGTACATGTGGAATGGTATATGTGGGAACCACAAAAAGACACACAAATACAAGGATAAATAAACATAAAAGCCATTGTCATTTAGGACATATCGACAAATCTGCCGTTGCCGAACACGCTTTGGGAAGCGGAGAAGATCGGATACTATTTGAAAAAACACAGATGCTGGACAAAACTTCACAGTACTACCCACGGTTGTATCGGGAAGCGGTGGAAATATCTAAGCACCCAAAGAATTTTAATCGGATAGAAGAAGGACTAAAAATTAACAAGACATATTAAAATCCTAAACTTGATTTCTATCAGCCCAAAGAACAGGCAGGCTTCAGGGCAGGATATGGCACAAATGACCATTTGCATACCATAAAGATCTTAATAGAAAAGTGCATCGAGTACAACGTACCACTGGTTCTTGCATTTGTCGATTACGGGAAGGCTTTTGATTCTGTAGAGTTTGAAACAATACTGGAAGCCCTTAATCAAAGCCGAATAGATTACAGGTACACGACACTAATTAAAAACATCTATCAGAACGCTACATCAAGTATACGACTGCACGAAGACACAGAAAAATTCAGCTTAGGTCGAGGAGTTAGACAAGGAGACAATATTTCACCAAAATTGTTCACGGCAGCTCTAGAGTCAATATTTAAGGGTACTCAATGGCAAGATATGGGCATCAATATAGATGGAGAAAGATTAAATCACCTAAGGTTTGCAGATGATGTTGTATTAATCGCAGATAACTTACATGATACAGTTTCTATGATGCATTCGCTTAAAAGTCTGTCTGAAAGAGCAGGATTAAAGATAAACTTTGAGAAAACTAAAATTATAACAAATCTCGTAATGAGTGGAAATATAACTATTGACAATAATACCATACAACAAACAGACACTTACAAATATCTGGGACATGAAATCAAAATAAGCAGAGACAATCAAACACATGAAATACAGAGGCGAATAGGTCTAACATGGGCAGCATTTGGCAAATTAAGCCATATTCTAAAAAGTTCAATTCTCATGTGTCTCAAGCGAAAGGTTTATAACCAATGTGTTTTATGTTTTATGTACAAACTTATGGAGCAGAGACTTTAACACTCACGCAAAAATCTGCGAATAAACTTAGAGTTACACAACGAGCCATGGAACGTGCAATGCTGAACGTGAACCTTCGAGACCACATAACAAACCAACAAATCAGGCGAAAATCAGGAGTTTAAGACGTCATCGAAAGAACCACGACGCTTAAGTGGAACTGGGCAGGGCACTTAGCCAGAACACAAGATGGACGGTGGACAAGACGTATTATGGAATGAAGTTCCAGAAATTATAAAAGAAGCCGAGAACGACCACCGACTAGATGGACCGATGACATTCAACGTGTAGCGGGAAACTGGCTACAAGCGACCCAGTGTAGAGAACACTGGAAAGAACTGAGGGAGGCCTATGTTCAGCAGTGGACGCGATTGGCTGATTGATGATGATGATGATGATTAAAATCCACAAACGCCCTTCCTGCCAAACACGAAGAAAGAAAAGCTACTACAAACAACGACACGCCCCCTCAAGCCGAAACCAGTGGAGGGGAGGCGAGTGGGAAATATAAATATTACCTCCGTAGTAAGGCGTAGTACAACGCAGCGTCAGTTTCTGCTTACAAGCGAAGCATTAACGTTTCCAGTAGATGCCAACCCCTAGTGTTGGCGAAACGTCGAGAACTAATCTCATAAGACAACGGCCTAATAGCATGAACAAACTGTTTAACAAAAAAGCTAACCTGTATTGGAATCAATACAGATTCTCCGAATAGATGGAGATTATACATATGAGGTCAAAATCCTAAGGGGAGTGAGACAGGGGTGCATAATTTAACCACTGATATTAAATCTGTACTTGGAGCACATTTTTGAAGAGGCACTAAAATATATTGATGAAGGCAACTCAATGAATGTAGTCAAGCTCAGTAACCTGCGGTATGCACGAACAAAATAACGGAAAGTATTACTTTCTGTAAAGCTTATCATGGTGTTTTTAGTGGCATCAAGATAACAAAAATCAAATAATTTTCTTGTTTTGATTTTAGAATTAACCAACCTTAAACCAGATGTCAATATTTGTTTTTTATATAACCAGTAACCAGATCGATTAATTAATTTTGTTTATGTTAATAAATAAACAAAACATGTAAAATTGTCTCAGTTTATTTACATAATTGGATGTCTATACATATTAATGAAATTATTAGGAATAATTAAATTAGCACCAAGATAACTTTGTGTCACAACAAATCTTCAAATTTAAAAAGTATCTATAATGATGCTGTTTCTTTAGAAGTCTAGATTGCAGTCAAGACTTTTCATGTTACTTGTAGAAGTAGATATAGTGTGACACAACTGTCCATTTAAATAGCACTAAATTGTTTTTTAATGGCAGAAATGGGTGAGTAAACATAATTATAAATAAACTAAATTACGAATATTATTGAACAAATCTCTTTAACCCTTTGAGACCTGACTTTTTTATTTTCAAAAAAAAAATCTTATGTGTTTTTATATTTCAAAAGTCTTCAATTAGTAAGATAAAATGAAAAAAACTTGTGTACGCTTTTAAAAAAAAATTTTTATTGTTCATATGTATGTACATATAGTCTTAAATATAAACTCAACACTAAAAATATGTATTTACTACAAAGTAATTATTATTATATATTTATTGTTCATGAAAAGCGGCAAAACAGTTTCTAGCCTTAATTAAACACAGATGTATTTTACATTTTGTACAGTACACATGACTACGTCCATTACAATCTGTGTTTTTACCTTCTTAGAATCAAACTCCGGTATGTGACCAAAATTGTCCGTTTGTATTTCCAAAAATGGTCTCGTCTCTCCTCGTCTTTTAAATGTTGAAATAGAAGGCTTAGGAGATGAAGATGCTGGTCTTTCTCGTTTTTCTACTTACTGAATTGCCCATATTTATTAGGCTTTCGGCAACTCTGACTCTGAAGTCTAGAAATTTCATTCGATCCTTATTGGTTGTATTACATTTGTCGCAGTCCTTCCTGTATTCCAGCCAGCTGTTGGTGAGAACGAAGTCTATCATGTGCATAATAACACGCAATGTCCACTTTCGCGACCTAATAAATATTCGATAATAATTAATCATCTGGTCCATTAGATCAACTCCGCCCATTCCATAATTATAATCTTTGACAATTTCAGGTCGGTTAACATCTACGTAACAAGAGCCCTTTTTGTCCCGTCTTCTAACTATGTTTAAATTACCTGCACCAACATAATTGGAGGCTAATTTCACAGTCTTTGTATCTAACCATTTGACTAGCACATTTTTTTCTTTATTGACGACTTCATCTACGGAACCTCTCGGTAGTTTCAGCATTTCATTGTCTGGTAACACAGGAGGTTTGTAAAATCTATCTATTCGAATAGTCCTTCCAGCATATCGTCGTTAGGAATGAAATACCTCCAATGTGCAAATTTTTGGTAATTCAGATTTTAAACTATTCTGAATCGCTATGAATAGTTTTATATATATATATATATATATATATATATATATATATATATATATATATATATATATATATATATATATATATCCCGTTTATAGCGTAATCCGCCTTTGGGTTCCCGTTCGCCAAGCCTGTCTATTCTGCCAGTCTTCTTCAAATAGATTTCTTGCTGACATGGCTTTTGAAATTCCTTGCATCCATGTTGTTGGTGGTCGTCCTCGTTTTCTTTTCTCTGGTGGTACCCATTCTAATATTTTTTTTGGTAGTCTTTCTTCCCCCATACGTCTAACATGTCCGTACCATGTCAGTTGTTGTTTTTCGATGTCTTCTATAATTGATCTTTGTACATTCATTTGATTTCTTATGTCCTCATTTCTCACATGTTCTAATCGAGACTTTCCCGCTGCTCTCCTCCAAAAATCCATTTCAACTGCCAAGAGGTTACCTTTAAGTTTTTGTGATAACTGCCATACTTCTGAGCCATACACGATTACTGGTTTCAATATTGTGTTATATATTCTTTTTTTCGTTTCCGGTCTTATATTTTTCTGCCATAGTACTGAATTCAATGCACCTATAACTCGTTTCCCTTTGGTTATTCTGTCTTTTATGGCTTCATCAGTTCTTCCTGTCTTTGTTAGTTTTACCCCCAAATATATACATTGATCGCATTTCTTAATTTTCCCGTCTTCTAAGTCGAGGTCATCTGCAGTATTTTCTCCTCCTATGCAAAGATATTGCGTTTTTTGTAAATTTACTTAAAGGCCCCATTTTTTGTACTCTTCCATTAGTTTTCTAGCCATATACTCTAGGTCTTCCTTGTCTTGGGCAATAACTACCTGGTCATCTGCATAATGCAGCGTGTATAACGTTTCATCCCCAATAGACAGCCCCATCCCTTTACACTTCTTTTTCCATTGCCTGAGTGCTTCGTCGATATATATATTAAATAGTATGGGAGATAAACAACAACCTTGCTTCAGTCCTTTTGTTACCTGAAAACCATTAGTAACCTTATTTCCTATTTTAACTTTTGATATTGTGTTGTTATATAGATCTTTAATAGCGTCGATTAGTGAAACGCTGATACTGGTTTTCTCCAATACTTCCCACAATTTCGCAACAGGCACGGTGTCATATGCTTTTGTTAAATCGACTAAAAGTAAATGCACTTCTCGAGATCTCAGTGTTCTTTTCTCGAGTATTTGGGATAAGCAAAAAATACTATCTATTGTGGATCGTCCCGCTCTGAATCCGTTTTGTTCTTCTGATTCAAAAGGACGGTATTCTTCGCATATGCGTTCTTTTATAATTCTCCCATATAATCTGCTAAGCGTACTCGTAACAGTTATACCCCGATAGTTATTGCAATCTTCCTTATTTCCTTTTTTATGGATAGATGTAATCCATCCTTCTTTCCAACTTTGTGGCACTGGTTCTCCGTGCAAGTGCCTATTGAAAACTTCTGTTAGTATCTCGAATAGTTTGTTGGTTCCATTTTTTATTAACTCTGCATATATCCCCTCTGGGCCCGGAGCACGTCCATTTTTCAACAATGATATAGCTTTTTTAGTTTCTTCGATGTTAATTGTTGGAGGCTCTCCTTGAATCAGGATTTCATGTTGTTCTATGTTTTTGAATTCCGGTCTTTCTTCTACTAACAGTGTTTTATAGTGTTGTTCCCATTTTTCGGGCTCTATGGAGTGTATGGCTATTTGTTCTGTTCTGTTGGATCTGATGTTTTTTATAAATCTCCAGGATTCTCTTGATTTGCGGCCGCCAATATACGTATCTAATTCCTGACATTTTCTCTCCCAGCTTTGATTTTTTGACTCTATTATCGTGGATTTAAATTTATTTACCATTTCTCTATATTCTCTTTTGTGTTCTTGATCCTTTGTTCCCAACCATCTGTGATATAATTTTTGCTTTTGATCTTTCATTTCCTGTAGTTCATCATTCCACCAATTATTTGTCTTTCTGAGTTTGTTTACTCTTATTCCTAATGCTTCTTTGGCCGCTTGATGTATTCCTTTTCTTATTATGCTATGTAACTCTTCTGTTGTTTTATGTTTAAATTCCTGTGGTAGTTGTTGCTCCAATCTTTTTTTATACAATTCTCTAGTACTATCGTTGTCTAAACTTGTTAGATTATACTGTAGTTGTTCACCTTCTGCTGAGTGATTTTCATTTAGATTTTTGTTTTGTTGGTGTTTACCGTTTCCGCTTAGCGGTAGTATCATTTTAGCTTTTACTAGATGGTGGTCACTTCCACATTCGGCTCCTCGAAATACTCTTACGTCATGCACTTTTATTTTAGATTTTTGTTTCATTATTAGGTAATCAATTACTGATCTTAAGTTTCTTGTAGGCTGAGTCCATGTATATGTATGTATTTCCTTATGTTTGAAATACCCATTCATGATCCTTAGTGAGTTGTGTCTACACATTTCTATTAAGTTATTGCCATTATCGTTTGTAGTGTTTTCTCCATATGGTCCTATTGTTTTATCTTTTATTCTTCTACCAGTTCTTGCGTTAAGGTCACCTAGTATAATAGTTTCCCTTGTTTGACCTATTTGAGAGATAGTTTCATCTAGGACTTCATAGTATTTTATTTTTTCTTCTAGGCGTGCATCATCATTCGGACCGTATGTGCCTATTATTGTTATTTTTAATCCTTTCAAGTTGAGGTTGATCTTTATGATTCTTTCATTTATTGCTTGCCAGTTCGATATATTCTTTTTGTATTTCTTCAATATAAGTATTGATACTCCTCTTTTGGCATGTTCTTCCTTATTAACTCCCGTGTGTATATGTATATATCCATCAAGATTTTGGGTTCCTTGTCCTTTTTTCTTTGTTTCTGAGAGTACAGCAAAATCCATTTTATGTTTTTTCATTTCTTGGATAACATCTTCGATTTTATTTCTAATTCCTTGTGTATTCCATGTACCACAAATCAGTGTCCGTTTTCGTTGCCATTGTCGTCGTCCTTTAGTTCCATCCATATCCCGAGGCTTGGTTTCGGTATTTTTAGCATTACTATTTTTTCCAAGAATGAGTTGCTGGCCCATTGCTAAACCCCCTTGCTAGGAGGACCAGAATTTTCTGTCGGGGTTTATTCCCTTAGCCTATAAATAACTCACCCCGCTGGCAGACGTGTTAGCGAGTGGGGGGGGATTAGGTAAGGAATTTGGAGTTTAGGTAGGATAATACTAGGGTTTGGGCCTGGTTTCACCTAAATAGGGAGTGGAGGAAAAACCAGGAGCTCGCGTGGGCTATAGTGAATAGTTTTACAGTCTAGAAAAATGTCCAATGTGCGTACCGATTCCTAACTTCCCTAATGTCTAAAAATGCATTACTCCAATGTAACATATGATTAATTGTTGGACTGAAATAAATCCAATGTGCTTAAAAAACACATTGGAGCTATTATTTATTATAATATCTGCACATTGGAGGTATTTCATATTTTCATCTGTCAAATTCCTATCCTCAAATGTTCTCAAATAAGCTATTTACCAGTGCAAAATGAGTGTTTTCAAGACAAGAACTAACATAGTTGTACAAAATTCACTTAAGGAAGATCGGCAAAATTATATCCAAACTTTTGCTCCTATTGAAAATGAAATTTATAATGAAAAATCCAAAAACAGGTATGTAAACAAATTCACTACTACGGTTAGATATCTTCCATCTCATTAGAAGAGAAGAACTAACGGAAGGTGAAGAAAATGATAAAAGAGAAATGATTTCAATAGCAGAAGACAACCCAAAAAAGCGAAAATCACAAAGCAAAAAAAGAAGGAAAATGCGCTCAAGAGATTAAAAGGCAAATCTTATCTAGGATATAAGAGAGAAAATTGTATAGTGACACATAATGTTAAAGGAGAAGCCAAGTCAG